TCGATCAACCGTTGAATATTTTCATTAACACTCGAGCACATTACACGTAATGCGTCTGGTGGAAAATGAGGGTTTAGACCTATTCGTCAATACTGGCTCCCCAATTGACCACCTCCTTTAAAAAGAACCCATCTCCTGCCGTGATCACTGAGTCCGACTTCATCAAGAAGGCTGTGCATTCCATCTCAGCGGGCGATAAGTGGAAGATCGGTGGGGGTATTGCGTCAGTATTCATCTTGTTGATATACACAATTCGTATGGCTATAGTAACTGTTTGGTGTGCACTTAGAAAACACAGCATAAGTTATCACCCTAGCACTGGCGGACGCAGTGCGATGAGCGCACCACTGTGCTCTGCATCGAAGGCCTTTTCATCTGATGGCCACACTATCCATCGGGTGTAGGACTGGCTCAGGCGGCTTTCGGTGTAACCATTTGGTGCGCTGACCTTTTCCCTTGTGGTTTATGCCTGGTCTCCTCTTCAGGGAGTACTGGTGACCGTCCCGGTGACTCCCAGTTTCGCTAGAGGTAATCCAGTAACATTTGGGGTAAAGTACGTAGACCTCATTGACAAGTCCTATTTGTTTGACATAACAGGAGAACTAAGCGCAGGGAGGCAACCATAGAGCCGACTTGACCAAACAACAATCGGGTAAAATTAGTGTAGGCTGCTCAAGTGGAGGCTGTATACCTCTGGCCGATCAATAAGAACATCCACATTATACCAAGATTCCTGTGAACATTCGAGTTATTGGATTCGACCTTAAAGTTCACACGAAACGCTGCTTGACCATTGATAGTTTTAGCCTATGCAGCACGGTTCCATCACAAAGCTGAACAACATGACGAAGCCAGAATGGGCGAAGTTGCTTAACCGACAGCTGCCTGATTTAAAATACGCTTTCCAGTATGCCACCATCAATTCATTGGACTTGCCTTGTCCCTGCTCGCTTAGGTCTTCGACTATTCTGCTTATCCCTACTTGTTGATGTGTACTGGAGCCCCACTTGTGCCACTTGAGATGGCCCAGGCAAATTATTCCGTGTTCAACATTTGCATAAACCTCTGTTGCTCAGAATGTGCAGATCGGCCTCACGTGGCATTCGCTCTGGAGGGGGTTAAACTTGAGTTTGGCGGTCTCCTAAACGTGGTAGGCAGATTGACAGTGGATCATCATTCACGACTGGTCGATGGACAGTCGGACAGAACTGTGGTAACTCCGGGGAAATTATAATGGTGCGTAAATGTCAATAACGTAGTGCGAACTACATAAATTAAATTAAGTCAAGTTTGATTCAAGCAAAGCCACATTGACACACTAATAATAAAAGCTAGAAGTGTACGTCGAGTTCGTGAGACCCTCAGGTGTACTTTGTGATCTGGATCTGACGATCATCAGCTTCTTGGAAGCGTATTTTGAGAAATAAGGCGCTCCAACTAGTCGCATTATTTACTTTCGTTGCTATACAAGTCATCCCCGAAGTTTGTGTTCCTAAAAGCCAAAAGTACACTGTTAACATAGCAGCTATGTTTCTAAATCGAACCACAATTAACAATAGTTTTATAACCAGCCTGGAAACATGTTGGAAGCTGCCTCATATGTTACGTCCTCAGTTCTCCTTGGGCAAAAGCCTTAAAGTCTAACTGTTTATATGCTTCTTTTGTGCCATACAGGACCGAACGACCTATCTACTGCAACAGTTGAACGAAACCGATGACGAAGACAATTTGCCAAAGTCAAGCGAACGCATCGATTACCTCATCCGGATCCCTAAAGGAGACCATTTCTACAAATTCTATGTGTATGCAGCTGAGGTGGATAGAAATCCAGCGATTTCGCTTCCTTTGGTTTATACCTATCTTTTAGAGGCCCCGCAAAGGTTGATGGCCGCTGAGGCACCCTATATTGGAGTTCAATACGGACCTTTTCCTCAAAAGTTGGAGCAACAGCAGCGTACGAATGGGAAATAACCTTGCCTTGACCGCCAACCGACGAACTACGGCTTGTAATTGGCTGTGTCCTTACGGTCGCTATTTTCTTTGCTTTTTAGGCGTAAGCAGGCGCCATTTAGATGTCCTAAATGAGATGATATTTTTACTTCTTTCTCTTGCACCATCACAACTATTCACCTTATGCAGAAATAACACTTCTTTGCTTTAAATTAGTCGTCAATTTTCCTCCAATTTGGTTGACTTCGACCACCTCGTGTTTGGTGGTGAGTACTATCATCGATGTGATCGACCACCTCATTGGTGCTTGTGCACCAGGAGTCCTGATGCCACACAGCTTTGTTTGCTTTTCGCTCCTACCGTGGGTTTTTGGAACTGCATGCTATCTGCCCCCATGCTGGCACCATAGCTTTTGTCCGTGTACACTGTCATCAGCTTCATGTGTGAATCCTTGCGTTCTCCGAGTTTGCGCAACTGCTTCTCTACCTGATAAATTTATTCACCGTTCCTCACTGCTACCCTCACTCAGCTAGCAAGTTTTATTCTGAAATCTTTCCAAGAGCATGCATCGCTTATCCTACGGTGTACGGTAAACATCAAGTCACTCCCATCGGTGTTCTCCAAGTACTGTCAGACAATGCACACGGCTTCTGTATTTTGAATAAATGTATGTTACTAACGGTGAACAAGTAATCAGAGAGATTCACTCTCTTCCCCGATATCTTATCCCCAAAATCCAAAACATCTTTCAATTAAGTGATTAAAATGCATCATCAAAATCCTTCCGTATTATTCTCTTAAATAACGCAGCCAGCTTGTAAAGCAGGTAGTCGTTCACATGCCCGGGGAAGCACTAGACTGCAGTTTCAGCCTGTTGGGCATCATCACTAGTGCGCATCCATTGGATCCATCAGGATTCGAAGCCACGACCACCAGCGGCTTGAACCGCCAGTCAACAGCTTATTCCACTGGGCCGCGGGGGACAACTCGGACCGTCATGATTTACAAGCTAAATGCGATATAGCGCGTCCTATCCTTCAATGCCATGAAAGTTACGAACGTTGCAGAGGACAAGGTTGGCCCCGAAAGACACGAGGTCCACTAACAGTAGCTATGTACGACACAGCATTTAGAAACTGTCAGGGCGGATATTTTCTGATGTACTCATGAGTAGGGGATTTTGATATAATTAATTAAGGTTTTTCGCAGGTCGCTGGGTTCAATGTACCGTCGTCCCCCATCCTCATCAGACGCTGTACTATCTCGAACGATGTGGCATATTTTGTTATATACACATGGGTTCGCGCATTGACACCTTAAGTAGCAAACTAGTTGGCGGTAAGTGTATCTCAGAACTTTGGCCTTCATTATCATGTTGGCAGGGAGGGTTTGGAGGACACCGAAAGCACTGCGCCACATTGCTAGGTATAATATCAGTTGTTTCATCAAAGCAGTTTCTTCCACCATATTTTTGGTTAACGAATCAATGGAGGTAGATTATTGCTAACCACTTGGCATGGATTCTGAGCCCAGAAAGTGAACTAGATTGGGTTGAACAACTCCAGAATCAGTTAGCTTACTACCAAATAGTAAGCATGTGCTTAATTTTCTCACCAGATACGTTCTAACAGTAAACGAACAGCAAACCATACAAAAAGACGATGAGGTTTACAAGTTCGACAAGAGTAGAGCGTCAAATGCTGTCCGATCTTCAACTCATCACGTCATTGGATACTGTAAACTTCCGGTGAACTTTGCCAATATTTTCCCTGTCTAAATTAAGGTGAGAGCACCAGAGAACTAGTAGTAAATGTTTCAGCAGAAAACAATACTCTAGAGTATAGAGCATAGTGAATATCACCTTCTTAATGTATCTGGATGTAATTTATCCACGAAGCCTTAATGTTGGTTTTGGATCGGACGACCAGTTTGAAAAGTTACATCGACTCGAAATCAAAACAACCGCGTGTTGAGCAGGTAAGCTTAAATCCATAAGCGAAGCCTGCGTTCACGTAAGCAGTAGGGAAAGCACACGCCCCGTTTTAGACAGCTTCCTCTAAAGTCTCCAGTTAACTAGTGGTAGTCTCTTAATTACACTGTAAACAACCCTACTAACGCTTAATAAACTAGATTTACGTCTTCTGTATGTATACTAGCCGTGAACGAAGTGGAACTGACCAATAGAAGATACTTGAGGTGCCATGAATAGAAGTGACTACTAAACACAGGTTCGAAATCGCTTAAAATGATGCGGCTGGTGTAAATGCACAATGCGTTGACTTAACCCTCGTGGAGCACGTTGACAGAAGACCAAGATCAGCTTCTGGATACAATGGATGTTTTGGATGTAGTAAGAATAATAAACAATTTCCAGGTGTTTCACGGTCCGCCCCTGGTACTCCTTTGGTAACGATGAGCCGGGCGTTTTGAGGCATCAGCTGCTCCACTAAAGCGATCCTCACCTCGAGTGGGCTAGCGCATTAGTTCCTCTTATCCAGGACTACTTTCGACCAAACAAAACCAGTCATCCGTTTTCTATCTACCACGACGAGACTATTAGCCATGGCAAGTGAACCGTAACAGATTGAATTTCTAGTTGGAGTGAACGGCCCATGCCAAGATCACTGCGGTGACCACTCAGGCAAACCACTAAAATTTAGGTGAAGTGAAGCGTGAAACTCCGGCCGCTTCCGTATCATCCGCCCAAGAGGGAGCACTGAGACCACCTTACTTGATTGCAACGTGCAGACTTCTTTGACTGAAAAAAGGCTTTTTGAACTTGATCACAAATGAGTCACAGTTGAACTTCGCACACTGTGATTGCCACAATAGCGCGGGCCTTTTCCGAATAAAGTAGAACCGGCTACCACGCAAGTCGCAAGTCGCAAATTGTGTGAAGTAGGAACGATTGGCAAGCGATCAGAATGCCGTCTCCGAATAGTCTAGTTATGCCGTACCATTCTTAAAGCACAACGGAACAGATTTGTACACGACATTTAACTGGTCCGTGACTAAACGTTCGCTCCATTATGTATTCCATATCAGTAGGTGGTTCAGGAAAGCCTGCAGAAATTCACGTCAGCAACAGACTTATTATCCTTAATTTCGTGCAAAGTCAACTCACCAATTTAATAGGCTCATTTTGAAGACTAAGCGGCTATGACTACCACCCAGCAAAAATACCGCTCACTCTCAGTCAGAATACCTACTCTTGACTAGTAGGTGGCGACCTTGATGGGACGCAGCATAAAATGATGTTTGATGTATGAATAATGTTTTGTTCATAAGGAATACCATTGCAGAGGATACTTGGATCACCCCAAAATTTCAACACAAGAGCATACGCTGTGCTTATCAGCCGAATCTTTCAAAGCCGGAAGATTGGTTAGCTTCATTGTTGAATCTATAACGTTGTTTGCATGGAAGTCAGGGGATCACGGGTTACGCCGCTTGTTCGGTTACATACTCGTTTCGTGTTACTTACAATGAGTCATGTGCATATAACGGAAAAACACACGACAATCACTTGTGCGTAGGCCCAACAGAGAAGCTTCCTAGCGCCCACTTCAATCGTACTTCTATCATAGTTTTTCTTCTTTGCGAGCTGGACGAAGCTGAAATAAAAATGGTCCGTCTCGACCGGCCCCAGGTATCAAGCCGACGCGCATGTCTCAACGTCATGAAAAGCTTCGCTTCACCTCAGCAAACACCTAAATTGCGTATACGCCAGGTAACTGTTCGGAGCATGTATGAAGCCCAAAGCTCTTCACTTTCTCAAGCCCAGTTGCAGACTGTTAGAGGCCACGGATAGTACATTTAATGTAACCATTTTGCCTGCTAACACAGTGTAATTACTGCATGATTGGGTATCCCATCTTAGCATGATATTTCTTACTCACGTACGTCTACCGTGCGACTGAGAGAATATGCTTGTGCTACAATGGCTGGCCGCTTTTCCATTCACAAATGTTGTGGTAGAATATAGCGTGAACAAAGCAAAATTATATTTGGCGTCCTCAACATGATCATTCAAATTGGTATCATAAATACATCCTTGTGCAAATTAATGGAAACAAACTACGATTGGGTCTCTTTTTCTATGAATATCATGTTTTTATACATGAAAGCTGCACTTTTTGCATTTATTTTTTATGTTATTTTGGGAATGGATATTTCATCATTGTTTGTGAATCAGACGATGTAATAACTGCGCATGTCTAGTCGTTACATCACCCAAGATTGCGTCATACTTTTTATGGTTAGTAAGGTTTTTGTTTCAACTTCTTTTTTTTGTGATTCAGTCATTGTTTGAAATGGACGTGACTCCCAGAAGGCGCATGAAGATCGTGACCTTGCACGAACACACAGATAAGATCTACAGGGACATAGCAAGAATAGTTGGTGTCAGTCCGGCAACCGTCAGCCGTGTGTTCAAAAAGAAAAAGGAAACGGGATGCATTTCGCCAAAACGCAAAGAGAAATGTGGTCCTAAGAGGAAAGCCCCTGCCAATGATGATGCTTACCTAATACGGGAAAGTGTTAAAGATCCTCGAAAGACTAGTGACGCATTAAAACGTGATTTAGGCGAGAAAGGAATAGAAATCAGTTCTTCAACGGTTCGCAGGCGACTCCTGGAAGTTGGTCGGAAAGCCAGACGGCCTGTGAAAAAAAAACTTCTGACAAAAGTAATGAAAGTTAAGCGTTACAAATGGGGACTAAAATACAAAAACTGGACAAAAGAAGATTGGAGAAAAGTCCTAATCAGCGATGGAAGCCATTTCTATGTTCATGGTCAGAGAAGTCAGTATGTTCGGAGGTCAGAGGGAGAAAAGGTTCGTGATTCCCACATTGACCACTTTGTGAAACACCCACAAAAGCAGATGTTTTGGGGGTGCTTTAGTTATTACGGCGTCGGCGCCTTGCATCCAGTCCAGGGCATGATGCGCTCTCCACAATATATAGAAGTTCTCCAAAGAAGAGCTGTTCCAGAACTAAAAAGGACATTTCCTGACGGATCTGGCGTATTTCAACATCTTAGGTCCCTGTAACAAACTTGAATTAAAGCTTGAATAAGTTGCTCCTTCGTCGTACAGTCCATGCCAGGAAGGCGTTGCTTGCAAATGGACCACATATTTTCAATGGGGTTTAAATCTGGTGAATTCCCAAGCCAGTCCAAGATTGTTATTTGATTAGTATTGAAACAAGTCTTGACCATTTTTGATGTGTGGCACGGGGCCAGATCTTGTTGAAGAACTGATTTCTATTCCTTTCTCGCCTAAATCACGTTTTAATGCGTCACTAGTCTTTCGAGGATCTTTAACACTTTCCCGTATTAGGTAAGCATCATCATTGGCAGGGGCTTTCCTCTTAGGACCACATTTCTCTTTGCGTTTTGGCGAAATGCATCCCGTTTCCTTTTTCTTTTTGAACACACGGCTGACGGTTGCCGGACTGACACCAACTATTCTTGCTATGTCCCTGTAGATCTTATCGGTGTGTTCGTGCAAGGTCACGATCTTCATGCGCCTTCTGGGAGTCACGTCCATTTCAAACAATGACTGAATCACAAAAAAAAGAAGTTGAAACAAAAACCTTACTAACCATAAAAAGTATGACGCAATCTTGGGTGATGTAACGACTAGACATGCGCAGTTATTACATCGTCTGATTCACAAACAATGATGAAATATCCATTCCCAAAATAACATAAAAAATAAATGCAAAAAGTGCAGCTTTCATGTATAAAAACATGATATTCATAGAAAAAGAGACCCAATCG